CTAATTGAAATGACAGGCAAAAGTTAAAAGTAAAATCGATTCTTTGTCACTGGAGCATCCTCAAGTGTTTAAAAGGGAATGTCAGCTGAGGAAAAAGAAGGTGTATGTTAACCAGTTAGAAACCAAAATCTGTTGCTATAGCAGTTTGTTTTAAGAAAATAAACATCATTAATTTAGTGAAGATATGTTTACCAGATTCAATTAATAAATTAATTCCATGAATAATTGAATTAATATTTGGAATAGCTACAGTTGCAAATGTGTGAATGATGTTGGTTCTCTGTGAGTGAAAGAACGGAATTGAAGACAAGGCATTTTAAAAGAAATTAGAGAAGCTAGTTCTGTGATTATGGAGCTGCTGGAGCAGGTCCAGAGGAGGGCCACAAAGATGATCTGAGGGCTGGAACACCTCTGCTACGAAGACACACTGAGAGAGTTGGAGCTGTTCAGCCTGGAGGAGAGAAGGCTCGGGGGTGATATTATCGCAGCCTTCCAGTACTTAAAGGGGGTCTACAGGAAAGCTGGAGAGGGATTTTTTACAAGGGCGTGTAGTGATAGGACAAGGGGCAATGGCTTTAAACTGAAAGAGGGCAGATTTAGATAAGATATAAGGAAGAAATTTTTCACTCAGAGGATGGTGAGGCACTGGAACAGGTTGCCCAGAGAAGTTGTAGATGCCCCATCCCTGGAAGTGTTCAAGGCCAGGCTGGATGAGGCTTTGGGCAACCTGGTGTAGTGGAGGGTTTCCCTGCCCATGGCAGGGGGGTTGGAACTAGATGATCTTTGAGGTCCCTTCCAACCCAAACCCTTCTATGATTCTATGATTCTGTGATCTTTGGAGCTCCAGGGAGAGAGAGCTCCTCTGTTTTGAGACAATTTTGCCTGCTCTTCTATCTGACCATATTACAACTGGAGGAAGTTTGGAGGGTTGTTTGTTTTTTTCAGTTTTGTATTTAACTTTCATCCTCAGAGCCAGTGCTATAGCTTTAAGCCTAAGGTTTTCCTTTTCTGCTTAGCTACTCACCTTATCCCAAACATAAAATCTCAAACCAGATTTGAGCTGTGTTTATCAATTGTATACAGGGTGTATGTCTGCCTGACTGTCCCAGGGAGTCAATTCCCATATTGCAGAGGGGAGCAGAGCAGCAAGGCATTTCAAGCAGGACATCTGCAGTATTAGGAATGGCTTCTAAAGGCAGCCATATGCCCCTTTCATAAACCATGGGAGTCATGGAAATAGCAGTGAATGTTTAAGCGGATTAATGCTTGCTGGAATTAAAGTTTAGCAATAAGGAAGTCTGTAATGGTTAGCTGTTCCTAAATGCTGTATCCACGTCCCATGTTAATAGAGGGTTTAGAGTAGCTTCTGTTAGATAGCTGCATTAATGAGTGGAGTCTAAGTGCCAGAGACAGCCTAGCCTGTTTGACTTTCAAATTAACCCTAGGAAATGCTGCCTCATGAATATTAAAATTCAGGCTCCTGTGCCATGATCAATACATTAATTTTTATGTATGACCTCACAAAGATCCAGCCTGTCAAACCATGGGCATTTGCCCAATATTCTTGTATAAATACCAAGACAGCTGGTTCTCAAAACCTGCTGTAATATTTCACGTAATTATAGAAGTGTCTGCCTGCACTGACCTCTTCATATCAGAGGTGGAAACCCAGGCAAGTGCTTGCTAAATGGGACAGACTGACTTCGCACTTTGTCAGGAGGGATGAGATTGGCTAGAAAGTATGGCAAGGTCCCTATTTGGGTTTGTGTTGAGCCTAGACAATTGTTAGCTGGAGCAAACCAGTCTCTCCAGAAAAGTTAGTCACCATGGAGGAAGTAGGATATATCTTTATAGAAGCTAACAGAAGCACAGATTTGTATAAAAGCCAGGAGGTTAAGTATTTCAGTTAACAAGCTCATTAACTTCAGATGCCTTCAGCACAGACAACTATATCTTGGCTAGTTATATGGACATTTCTATAGTTGATGAGGAAACGTAGGTATGTCAAGGACATGATTCATCCCACTGCAATGTATGTGTCTCAAATAGGCCAGAAGAACCTTGCGTTAGAATTTACCTTTTCTTTGCATGGTCTCTGAAGGGAGTCAAGGTGACTGACTTAAATACAGATGTCTTCACTCTAGATTTTGAAAGTGAGATGAAATGAAGTCTCTTGTTCCCCTGGCTATAGAAGATGGCAGCACAAGAATAGAGAAATGCAGTGACCCATTCAATAGCTGAATAGGTTGCATGCAACCTTTTCTTTGCATGGTCTCTGAAGGGAGTCAAGGTGACTGACTTAAATACAGATGTCTTCACTCTAGATTTTGAAAGTGAGATGAAATGAAGTCTCTTGTTCCCCTGGCTATAGAAGATGGCAGCACAAGAATAGAGAAATGCAGTGACCCATTCAATAGCTGAAACTGGCTACCAGTTCACACTGGAAAGGTGTTTAATGGTATCTCAGAAACATCCCTTATTTATTTGAAATTCACTTTGAAGGACTACATGTTCCCATGCTTTCAGGTCAACCTGCCTTTTGATATGCTAATCAGATGAAATTGGCCTTTACCACCAGCGAATATTTGTATATCAAAGAGATTCCTGGCACACCTTCTGTCAGTCTGAATCAAGTTTAGATTACACTGCTGCATTATGTTTAATGCTGATTCCTAGTAAAATCATTTTCCCTACGTCATTAACGTTCTAATTATTTTTAGCCTAGTGTTAGTTAGCCATTTCCATGCTCAGTATAGCCCAGGGAAGTGAATCTTTGTTATTCATTCTAATGGTTCATTATCCCTCTATTTTTACGTACAAGAATCACAAAGCCCGTGCATGTCACAAGTAAAACTGGCTACGCTGAACATCGTAATCATGTTCAGGGCTGACGAGATTCCCCTTTGCCTCCACCAAGGAGCTGAGCTTTCTGTGAAGGATGTGCGGAGATGCACAAAGCCCATGTCCCGTGGAGGAATCTATGTATTTCTCTGCACCTTTCCTTGCACAGGTCACTTCAAGCAGACTACGGAATGTCTCACAGATAAACAAGTACTGCTTAGCAGCCGGTCGGCTTCACTGCAGCCCGCGGCTGAGGCGCTTGAGTGACAGTGCAAGAATAGTCTCAACTGGCATTCCTTCCAGCGCTTGTCCTTCCCGGCTAATGCGGCTAAATAGCTGAGATGACCTTCTGCTGGAAATCTTTGAATGGAAGTAATTTTGTGATTAAACAAAACTAGACTTGGGGGGAGTTTGAACAGTCTATTAAAGAATACACTTTTATTTCTTGATTCACTCCATTACTGAAGGAATAAGCTACCAAACACAGGGATAAGGAACACCAGCACAACCGTTCTAAGTGACCAAAGACGTATATCTAGAGTAGAAGACTCCAGATTTCACAGCAGATGCAGGACCAAATCCTCTGTTGGCAAAGTTTTGTGTAAAATAAAATCGGTTTGTGTCATGGGTTAGGCCTATCCGGCAACTAAACCCCACGCAGCTCTCCCACTCCAGTAAAATGGAGAGGAGAAAAATACAATAAAAGAGCTGAGGGTCGAGACAGGAACAGAGGAGCACCCACCAACCACGGTCCTGGGCAAAAGAGGCTGTTTTCTTAAAGCAAAACAGTTTATTAACAGCTACCTACAAAGAGAAAAGCACACAAAAACGGTTACTTGAGAGGATAACAAGAAAACAAGGCCAGGTCTTAAAAAACAACACCACTCCCCCCCTTTGCCTTCTCTTCCCGGCTCTATCTCCTCCCCCCAGAGGCGCAGAGGGCAGGGAATGGGGGAGTGCAGGTCAGTTCATTCCATGCTGTTACTGCCGCTTCTCTTAAAGGAGAAGGAGTCCTTACACCATTTGTCCCTTGATCCAGTGGATCCCCTATTCATGGCAAAAGCGTGAATCCTACCCGCTGGGAGGCAATCCTTGCCCCATTGGATTGCCCCAAGTGTGAGCTTTACCAGTCCTGGACTTTTAAGGAGTTGTTGCCACTTGCTCTGGCGTGGGTCGTCATATCGACCTTAAATGCGTCTCCATACAGACTTAAAATGCGTAAATGCGCCTCGACCTGTGCCCATGATTCACAATAGTCTGAGGCTCAGGCATCTCCTTTAACAAAGCACCTCCCCATTGGCAGAGGTTGTCCCACGGACTCTAGATGCTTACCATGCTCAGGCTCTGGCATCTCTTCTCGATGTGGATCCTCCACGGGCTGCGAGTGGGTCTCTGCTTGCTCCACTGAGGACTGGTTGCAAAGGGGCGGCTTGCAAGGGGGACTCAGTTGCGGCACACGTTGTCCTGTTCCATCTTCACTTACCTAGTGTCAGTGTGGCACTTGTCTCAGATCTCAGTCTTTTCTGGGTAAACTCGGCCCGGTGGGCACCCCGGGAGCAGAGCTCTCCCCAAGTTACCCAAGCAGCTCCGTTGGGGCCATTACCAGCGGACGGCCCGGCACCGGCTGCCGCCCAGCTGGGCACCGGGAGCGGGGCCGTGCCCCCCTCCCTTCTCCTTGCTCCTGGGCAAAGGCACACCTTTCCGGTTCCTTTGTCCCGACATAAATAGGGCAATTCGCAGAGGCTCAGATTGGCTCAAACCCCAAGGGGGATGGGAGTCCAGTCTGATGGGCAGCTTCTGCCACCCGGAGCTACCCCCCAACATCAAACCATGACAGTTTGTCAGAACTATTGGTGGTAAAAATTGGTCAAATATGTTCACTTAAATTGCTCTTCCAACCCTAAAAATAAACCAACGCATAAAAGTCCTAATCTGAATAAAAACAATTTGTAAACAAAATATAGGCTCAAATTCACTGAATATAAATTGATTGCTACAAGTTATTGTGTCTGCTGTTTATCACCATCTGCCATCTGTTTGGAGCAGTTGATACTCGTTCCGAGTACTCTGAAGTAACAGGCTTGATAGCACTCAGCTTAGCAGACTTTCTCCAAATACTGTTGATTTTAGTCTGGAAACATTTGTCTCTTCCATCACAGGTAATCAGCGAGTTTGAAGCCTCTCCCGACTCGTTTTCCTACAGAATCCCCAACTTGAGCCGGAATCGCCAGTACAGTGTCTGGGTGGTAGCAGTGACTGCTGCGGGAAGAGGCAACAGCAGCGAGATTATCACTGTGGAACCACTAGCTAAAGGTACGGTGACAGTGCTTTTTAAAGCAATCCAGAACTTTGCAATGCTAATTACTGTCATAATTGGCACGTGGCTTCTTTATGCCTCATTGCTTACCGAGAGTGGGATTTGTCAGGAGTAACTTCAGTTCTCTCCAAAAGTTAGGTGACAACTCTTAGCTAATTGCCCAAGCTTTGCTGTAGTCAGCAGAGATAGAATGACGTGCTTCTCTAGGGGGTAATTCATCCCTCCTACCTTAGAAGGAAATAAATTGCTTTTTGGAGCAATTTTTTATCTTCTTTTTTGGGTACAGAAGGTTTCACATGATCCCCCTCCCCTTCTGAATGTGTCTCTTTTTTTTTCTTGCCACACAAGATAACTTATCATTCTCTTCCTTAGTAATACCTCTTTTGTACTTCACAAGTACTATCTTCTGTATAAATGGTCTGATTAACATACCTAAACTCTGAACAATTGTTCTCAACTTGCATTAGCTTTGAAGTTTACTGCTTCTATTTCAGATATGAAGAAGGGATAATGTGCCTCAAATCCTACATATTTTTTTCCCAGCTGTATTAATTGTTCTATTAAAAGATATTACTTGGGCCCATGAATTCTGCCTTACCCGTACTGTGAGACATGATGCTTTTAACACTATGGCACCTTAGCTTGGAAACAGAGACCTGACATTTTAGACAGCAAGGTGAGAAGAGTCCCATCAGTACTCAATATCTACATGGGGTCTTCAGACTGATTTTTTTTTCCACTCAAATTGGTAACATCACAGAATGTGCCAATATAAACGGTGTATTGCACAGGTCCCTAGAGATGCAAAGATATATACATTTAGTTGACTTCACAGTTTCACAAGTCTTCTGATTCTTCAGTCATGTGGCTAATGATGTAGTAATGTGAAATAAAGTGTCTAGGACTTTATGATGATGGATGCTTTCTAAAAAAGCTTTGCAGCATTTCAGTCAAATGCCAACGTGAAAACACTTTCTGCATGGAAGAGCATATACCATCACCATAGGGAAGCTACCTAGGTACTAGATAACCAGTTTGATGATGGTAGATTAACTATCAGAGCTATAACAATGAACAGCAGTGGTGGTGTTTGAAGGGTACTATTTCAACACATGACATAGCTTCCTAGGATGTAGAAGTTGCAAATAGGTTTCCTCAGGCTTATGATGAGAACTTGCATGTCTTTTCTTTGACCCTTCTCTAAGCTAAAGTTTTTATCATACAAGATAGATATTTTTCAACATTACTGTGAGAAACCTGTAGTAACTACTACATTACTATTGTAGATCATAATGGAAGAGTTAACTGTAAATGCGGGGAGGGTCTCGCAAGGTAAGGAGGCATAGGTTGGAACAAGCAGGGAAATACTTGCTCCCCATACCATTGCTTACAGTTTTTTTCTGTCAACTGATAAGAGTCACCTTTACTTTCTGCTTCTTTCTGGCATTTTTTGTACAGACTTTCAGAACTTTTCTCTTAGTAACTATACAGTGTTAGAGGAGTGACCTGAAAGATGGCTGAAAGGCTATGAAGGTCTGAAGGATCTGAAAAGCCTGGAGCTTTTCCATTGTTGAATTTCTTGTAGGATAACTGCATACCGCATTTTGAACATCAAAGAGACCAAAGTTGAGATCTTAAAAGGTGGATGAGAAGTGTAAAGGATATCTGCAAAGGAGGACCATGAAAAACCCCTCAGGGAAACAGGACAAAGGCTTTTGTGTGGTCCTCCTTTTAGGCGAGCTGTAACCTGTGGGTAATGAATGTGTGATGATGAAAATAAAACAAAAAAAGAAAAAGAAAACATAAACATTGAGGCTTGAATAAGAGCAAAACCAATTAGATAACAATGTGGTGCCATACTAATAGATCGAGGATGCAGGCAAAGCCAGGAGTGTGGAGGGACCTCTGCACATATTACACTAGAAGTTCTCTTTCTCCATCTCCTATGCATTTAAAAAAGTGGGGCGTGTTCAGAAAAGATGCATGTACGCAGAACAATGCAGAGTTTGTAGGTACCGAGATGCATAACCTCTAGTTATGAGGAAATGTAGTATGTGAGTGCTTTCAATTTACTAAAAATAGAGACATTACAAACTGACTCACATGTGCTTCAACTGAACAAGCTTACCAGAAACTGGAATTAATTCTGCTCCTCCAAAGCTTATTTAACATGATCCATGATGACAAATAAGTGAACTTAAAAATAGCTTGTATGAAAAGACAAGGGGACTTTAAGGAAAAATAATTAATTACTTCAAAATAGACCTGCCAGTGTGAACAAGACTTTATTTTGAAGGATGGTAGAATGCATTCAGTCAATGTTAGAGCTAGTAGTGATACTACGATATAAAGTCTGCATTAGATCATGCTCAGTACAAGCCTCTCTTACATGCACTTAGGACTGAAAAAGTGATGAATATTCCATTTGTGGAGGTTGTGATGGACACTTGAAATGCTGATAGAGAGCAATTTTATGAACTTGAATGTAGCCAGGTTAGAAATTATTGCATCATGTGCAAGATTTCCTGTATGAAAGCATCACTGGGCCTTTTAGAGAGCTGAGGGAAAGTGGTGATCAGTGATAGGGGCAGTGGATGCACAAAGAAGGATGGGCAGAGCTAATGGCCTTGAAGACCTTTCTCACCTTCAGCACGCCTGAAGCAAGTAGCAAGTCAGAGGGTTAGAAGCAGTTATTGCCTGATTTTGCCACAAGTTCCCAGTGCAAGAACATCCTACAGGCCATTCTTATGAAGTTGTTTGCTTCCTTTTTTTCTCCACTTATTTCACAGTAACTGTCCAAGTAATGATACCATCATGACAGCTAATGAGAGTTAACTTTGAATTGAATTATGTCAACTTAATTATAACCCCTTTAAGAACTCCTCTGGGAACAATGAGAATGTCTACATAGGGGTTTGATGTGAAATGGATAGTCCAATTTAAATGAAAGCTTAATTCAAGTTAACATTTCTTTCTTCAGTGTCTCTGTTTCTCAGAACAGATTGTCATTCTCTGTAATTAACTGACAAAAATAAGCAAAAAAAAACCAACCCCAACAAACAGAAAATAATCATGGCAATGCAAAGTCAGTCTCCATGTAAACAAGCTATGTGCCCCCTCCCCAAATTACGCTTCATTGCAGACTTGGAAGTTGTGGGTTTAGCCTATCAAATATATCTAAAAGACAGAAAACCTTGCATGTACCTTGTTCCTCCTATTTCCTGACCATGACTGATGGAAAATGGCATTTGCCAGGAACATGATGATAACAGATCTAAACCCATAACAATCTGATCCTCTGGGAAGAAATCTCTGACTTTAATGCTGACTTTCCCCTGTTCTTGTGGACTACCTGAGCACTAAAGTTGAACAGATTTGCATCCTAGTCTATGTTGCTTTGTGTGTTTAATGTTTTCAAACAACAAGTGGTGTTCACATGATAGTACATACATCCCATTCGTCTGTTTCTTTAATGGTTCATCTTACTGGAATACATAGAATATTCTTCTATGAGAAACTAAATGAAAGAGGCTCCAGACCCAGGATATTCACTGATGGCTCTAGTATTCAGGTTAAACTGAGCTGTAGTGAATTGTCATAGCTCTTGTTCAGTTTCCCCTTACACTTTGCCTTTAAAATTCAGTGTGTCCTCTAGAGAAAAAAAAAAAAAAAAAAAAGAACCAAAGAATGTCTGACTGTTTCTTATTCTATGGTAGTAAGTGTAGCTAATAGGATTCAAAATATAAACAAACAAACATGCAGAAAACCACATTAGCATCAGAAAGTGTACTGGTCTGTGAAGACACCTCTGTATCTTCAATTAATTATTGGGTAATTTGCGAAAAATAGGAACAGACACGTCCTAATCCAGTGCCATGCCATCTAATTTGTGGGTAGTCTGTAAGCATCTGGATAGCTTCTGTAACAAAGAGGTAAGCTCTGCAGCTGAATTGCCCACATGCTTCATAAAACTCCCTTGGCTCAAAAGGGAGAGGTCTGTGAGATTCAAGATATTTTAACCTCATGAATGCCTGTTAGCATTTCAAACTTACTGCTTTCAGATGAATTTCACTAGACATTTATTTTGTTTCTAGTTTTCTTTTGTTCATGTACCTGTTAGCACTCTCAGAACATTTTTAGAAGTTAACCTATAAAGAAAATTGGAGTTAAGAATTTTCATGCTGTTCTACCATGTCTTTTAAAAGCACTCAGTACATGAAAGGAATAGGATAATGCATAGAAAGCTGCGGGTACTTTCCCCAAAATAGTACAGTATGCTTTTGTAATGTGCACTTCTGTGTTATGGTCTGTGACCTTACCACTGGCTTAGGCTTCTTTGAGGTTTATGTTATTTCCACACATCACTGTAAAATGGGACACTCAGGATATTTAAAACCAAGAGCTACAACATAAAGGTTGGGCTTTGGAGATCTGATATCCAACCTATGACTGGAGGCAGAATTCACTGTCAAAATAACTATTCAAAGTAAAGGGATATCACAGAAAATCTGCTAACAGTGGTGTCATGTCATGCTGAAGGCT